GAACTGAAGACTGTTGACAATATCTTTATAAACTATATAAAATGAGTATACCCGTCCAGTTTAAGCGCTAGAAAGACGAACTGAAGACTGTTGACAATATCTTTATAAACTATATAAAATAAGTATACCCGTCCAGTTTAAGTGCTAGAAAGACGAACTGAAGACTGTTGACCGCACAGAAGAGTTCAAGTTGAAAGGATCGATCATGTCTCACACTCCAGACACAGATACCAACAGAGATTATACTCACAAACACCAGCGGGATAAAAACCTGATAAAGAAAAATACATAAATCATATTGACTATCTCGTTAATTTAAAGTATTAAAGGGAGTGTTCGAGAAAAGTAAAAAGGGGTACAGGATGCAAAGCGTCATACTGTATTTGTAATTTAAACGAAAAATAAAAAGATATATAAAACAAATAGTTATGAGAAAGGTAAGGATGAAACCATTTCATATAAAATCTCCTTTAAGCAACCCAAAAAATTAAAACTTATTCAGTATTTACTCCATTAGGCACCACAGATCATTTGGGAGATCTATTTTTCAATTATTTTTAAAACATGTTTTATAAGGGTATATCAAAAGATGCGTTTCGAACAGTTGAAAACTGTCCATTCGTACGACTTTTGATATTTAAAAAAAATTAGTTGCCTTGAAGTCAAAACAAGTTTTTTTTTTAACTCTTCCCAATAACCGTCTTCTTGATTATATTTGGTTTAATTTCAAAGAGATTTTTACGTTCTTAACGTTTCTGATACCTAACGTGATATATTGACGATTTTTGAAACGCTTACGTGATCAAAAAAAGAGAAAAAATCTGAATGAGTTTGAAAGAAAAAATATAGGACTGGAGCAAGACGAATTTGAGCATTTAAAAAAGGCCCGCATAGTTTCACCCCTACAAGTAATAATTTTGTTATTTCCTAAAAATGTTTATTTACCAGTATCCAGAGATGGCGCCCTGACTGTAGATTATCTGCTACCAGGAGTTCAAACATGAGAAGGAGAAGATGAACTGCCAGGGATATGAGCATAGCTTTGTACTGAACATATTCCTCCGAGAGTATACGTGATTGAGGAGTTCTCCACCATACGTAGGAACCTACTAGGGCTCCACTGACTAAATAAAATATCATTTTTAAACTTGGAACTAAAAACTAGCAATTAGGATCCGGATAAGTTAACAGTTATTTTTAAACATGTATGAACTAGCTTAAGTGCCCGGCGTTGCCCGTTGAATTATAAGTAAATGGAATTTTGAAGAAGTGAAAAAATCGATTTCGGAAAAAAATTCGATTTTGAATTAATAAAATTTCGAATTTTCTTTGACCTATGTTCCCCTAAAAAAATCAGCCAATTCGGTCCAGCCGTTTAGCCAGCTATAGCTAACATATATAAACATGAGCGAAGAGCTTTTTTATATAGATATTAATAGTTTATTTTAAATGTGTTTAAACCTTACACTGTAAAATCTAAACTATTATTCTAGGATAAACTACAGCCTGTGAGAAGATTTGTGAATCAGTGTGATCCTGTCAAGAACTTTCTATGCAGGGTGATTGAATATGAACAATAAACTCTTATTAATCCCGCACTATTCAAGTTAAAATAATGTTAAATGCAATTTCTACCTGTGTTTTAAAAATTACGATATGAAATGAAACTGTATTTTATCAAGCATATTTATCAACAAGCATTTTATAGAAACTATTAATGGCACAATTTAAATGTAACTCTGTAAATGATTTATATCAATCCCAAGCTTTCGACTTTCGAGTTTTAATGGCTGTCATGTTGCAGATGATCATGGGAGATCAAGATCACTATAGACTTACTCCCTCCCATCTCAAGAAGTGACTCGTTAAATCAAATGACATTCAAGGTACAAATAGTTAGCNACAAGAGCCTTTGTCTTATTCACAGACAACTCCAATAAAACTTGAAGTTCTTGTATAACTTGTAATGATATTTGCTTAACAGTTCTTCTGTCTGATTTCTTATCTGGAGTTTCCACTCTGATTTGAAGTGGAGTTTCACCTGTAGATAACAAAAACGTAGTTCCATCTAAAAGGTTTTCTTCTTCCATTTTCTTCTTAATGATTTTAGATGCTATTTGCTCAGCTTGTAGAGATAGGCTCCAGAGGGAAAACCCCCTGCTTTCAACTTGTACAGGTTTCTCCTACATTCAGAGCAAACTACGTCTGGATAATGCTTGATAGTAAAAGATTATCCAGGGAAAATGAAGGTTCTAATTTGCTCTTCTTTTGCTTCATTAGCAGAATATAAAGCTTTAGACCTAGAACCAAGCCTCTCCCAACAGCAAGCACAAACAGAACATCGTTCTAACTCCATTTATATATGTGTGATATTAATTGTTTAAACTGTACTGTTTAGTAATTTTGAATTTTGGTGGATTTTCTGCCATATTTTCGCGGAATTTTACTAAATTCTACAACAAAAACTTTAGACTTGATTATTCTGTGTACGGGGTGGCGTATAAACAATACATTGGTTAAATAGTTATGCACTTCTATTGTTCCGACGCTGAAAGTTATAGAGAGATAAAACTAAAAACTGAAAAGTGCACATACACCATTGTTGAAACATATGCTAATGTTTTTCTTTAAATAATTGTGAAACGTTAAAAAAATTGGAAAATTGAAATTTCTTTTTATATATTTTTTTTTACTTATAAAGATAAATTAGCAGTACATTATAGCACGTGTGCAATACAGTTTTGATTAATTCACGGATTTTCAGCAAAATAATTTTAAATCAAATTTATTTTTTTTTACTTCTGCTTTGTTTCAAAGCTTATTTGATCTATATAAATAACCATTGAAATAAGACAAGTACACAAACGTTTCATAAAATTACCTATAACACTATTATTTTGGCACAACGTGCTATATGTTAGCTATAGCGAAGAGCTTTTTTATATAGATATTAATAGTTTATTTTAAATGTGTTTAAACCTTACACCATTGTTGAAACATATGTTAATGTTTTTTTAAAATAATTTTAGATTTAAAAAAGCATTAAAAACTACAAAAAAAACCTTTATACTATATACATTTTGATGATTCGAAGGAATTGGCACTTGAGAATTATAATTTATATGTTAATTTTAGAATCAAAGATTAATTTTCACATCGAAGGTTGTTTTAACGTATTAACAATGCTTCCAAAAACTGAGATTGTGGAAAATGGTTAACATTATTATCAAAAGGGGCGGATACAGGGGGGGCGGCAGGACCTTTGCACCCCCCTGACGGATTTCAGAATAGCTTCTTAATAGCACTTAAGGGAAAGAAAACCTAGCGCGAAAAGAAAAAAATATCAAGCTTTAAAAATTTTTTTAAAGACTGAAGAACAACCAATTTACTAAATCTTACTTGCAATTCCCTTCCATATCCAGAGCGGGATAAAGATAGACCACCAGGACCAGTCGATATTTTTGTCTAGCTTGAGGGTGAGGAGGAGGGAGAACCCGAGGAAGGAGCTGAACACGACGAACTTGCTCGCGTTGAACTCCTGGAATATTCCTTGAAGATTTGCCATTTCTTCCGTTCCTCTCTCCCGCTACATCATTATTCTGAAATCTCATAAATTATAAACAGAATTACAATGTTTACGAGATTTAAGATGAAAGTTTAACAAGTATCTTGTCAGAAAGCGTTTATTGCAACCCTTGCAGGTTATTCGTTCCTCCGAATGAGATTTCAGATGGGTTTCGAAAGCGACTTTCTGATAAAATTGTTTTCCGCACTGGTTACATGAAAATTTCTTTTCTCCGGTATGGATGAGAGCATGTCGCTTCAGACTAGCAGGGTGAGTGAATGTTTTAGAGCATTCCTGACAGATATAAGGACGGAGCGAGGACTGTCTATGATAATGCATATGTCCTGATAGGTTCTTAGAGAACACTTCTTTCCCGCACTCCGGACAAAATAGAGTTTTCTCTCCGTCCTCTACTTTACACCGACACTGTGGTGAACTGTCCCCACATTGATCACAGATCAATTCAACACTTGGCTTAGCATTGTGAACGTTGTTTCTGTGACATCTCAACGCACTTTTAGTTGAAAAAACTTTTTCACAAACATCACATGGATAAAGATCGTCTAAATGTTTCTGTTTGTTGTGTTTGTTTAGAAGCTGTTGAGTTGAAAACTTGAGATTACATTTGGTGCACTCAATCATCTTTTCCTTCAGATGAACGGCGGCTTCGTGCTCTGTCAGGTGTGTTCGAGATCTGTAAAATCAACATAATAACAGATCATTAATAATTTTTAAACAAAATAGAATTTGTTTAAAAATGCATTTTAGAGGGTCCCACGACAAACTCTTAGAAGACAAACTCCGGATTTTATTTTCCTGCAGAACTCGACCACTATCATATTCTAGCAGCAGAGCTCAGCCTCCAAGTCTATCCTAGTCCCAGCGCGGACCCTTCTAGCCTGACCTATCCGCAGGGCCCGGCCACCTTACATAATATTCGGGTGCCTCAAAAGGCAAAAACTAAACTAGAATTCAGAGAATTTCCTCAGTTTGTCTTTTCCGGAATTTGTATTTCCGGAGTTTGTATTTCCCAAATAGATTATCAAGAAATAAGTGGCAACAGAGAAATGGACCAATTTATTCACGACGTCACAAGTGTCAAATATAATAAGGAAAACGAAATGTTTTCACATTTGTTGAAATGTTTTCCAGGATTAAATAAAAAGTGTAAAAATAGAAGAAAACACACATTGCCATTATATTGAAGGAAAAGCACTTAGTCTAAAATGATCACTATTATTAATAATTTTGTCGGACACAAACAATCAGTTGACACTTGTGACGTCAGAATACAGCTGTATTGAGAGTGTACAAATTCTACGTTGCCATCTATTGTACTTGACAATTTATTTAGTATTTCCGCAGTTTGTATTTCCCAAAGTTTTTCTTTCCGGAGTTTGTCATTGAACCCCTAATCAGACTTTTTTTTTTGATCCGCTTTACTGAAAAATTGTGAAACGTTAAAAAAATTGGAAAATAGAAATTTCTTTTAATATATTTTTTTTACTTATAAAGATAAATTAGCTGTACATTAGCGCGTGTGCAATAAAGTTTTGATTGGTTCACGGATTTTCACCAAAATAAATTTTTGTTAATTGAAATGAAAATAAAATTTATATCAATTTTATTTTTTTACTTCTGCTTTGTTTCAACGCTTATTTGGTCTATATAAAAAGCCATAGAAATAAGACAAGTACACAAACGTTTCATAAAATTACCAATAACACTATTATTTTGGCACACCGTGCTATGAAGTTTTTGGACTTAAAGTTTCTCTATATCTCGAAGGTTCTCGTCTTTATAGATTAAATTTTGTCCCTTGCTAAAGCTGAAGACATAGTTAAATCTAAAAAGGCTTGAACCTTCTCGATCAAGAGAAAATTTCTGTCCAAAAACTTTACAACACTGCGAACCAAAATAAGAGTGTTATAATAAATAGTTATAGAACGTTAATAGATGAAACCATAAAAGATCCTACCTGAACCCGTGGTGGCAGGTTGAACAGGAGTATGGTCTCTCGTCTGCGTGGAGCATGAGATGATCCTTAAGCCTGCTACTGGAGATGGAACGAAAAGAGCAGAAATCACATTTTAGTTTATACTTGCTCCCATAGTGCTCATATAGTACATGATGGTAGAACAATTGAAGTTTAGAACTGTTGTTGGTTGGGATTATTTTCCGGCAATCCGGGAGAATACAGGAGCAGGAGGAGGAGGAGGAGGAGGAGTCCTGCCGGGAGTAGTTCTCCAACATGTGCTTCTTCAGCTCTGCCAAGGATTGAAACTTGAGATTACAGACCGGACACGTGTTCTTGGTTTCCTTGAGGAAATCCTTCCTCTGATGCATGGATACATGAGCTTGAAGAGCACTAAGACTCCGGGTACTATATGGACACTTTACACACTGAACCTGTCTATCCTCTAGTTCAAGTTCCTCTTCACCACTATAATACAGGGTGTCCCAATAAACATGGGAATTCAGTGACGAATTTGATATCGTCTTTTTAAATAATTCTTAATAATTCTTTGATTTAGTATAGTGATACCCACTGAGAAAGCTGTAATCTGTAAGAGTTTATCTGCTATGTTCACATTTTGTTTGTTTATGTTTTGACTGCATACGGTTGTACTTTGTAAAACAAGAAAATTACAGTATACAAACAGAGTAAACTTGTCCGTCTTCATGGTTCACGGTCACGGAGACATTATAGAAACATCTTTACAGTCTTATACCCTTTTCATAAAATAAACTCTAGCAGACACAATAATATTATGGCTTTTGAATTTAGGTATTACAATGCTAATTCATAACAAAGACGATATCGTATTCGTCACTGAATTCCCATGTTTTTGGGACACCCTGTACAAAATAGATAATCAAAATTAAGAGACTTTTAAGCGTAATTTCAAGTAACCTTCCTTTAAGAGAGGCATTATTGATTCACAACGGTACCCTTTAATACTTTTAAGTGAACAAGGATAACAGACGTTTTTACAGAAACGCTTGTTATTGTTGAATACGTTGTTTGCAAGCTGTTTTATATCAACTATTAATTTCTAGAATTTGCAGAATTGAAATATTTAAATTCGAATTTTTGAAAACCAGTTTGGACAAAGAATATTTCAATTATCTAGAAATCAATGTGTGTTTATGCCTGTTGCGCCAGTACGCTAGTGTATGCTCCAGTTTTTACACAGCACTTAAGAGATATATACAATGAGTTCTATGCCCTCGATTATCTGTCAAAAGGTTTAAAGAGTATCGTTGTAAAGTGGCGTCTTCCATTTTTAAATGGAATTTAATTTATATTTTTACAGGTCGAGTCCTTAGGTGTTGGACAGGTTGGTATTGTGAATTTTAGCTCTGTATGGGCCAAATGTAAAATCGGAGCTGTCAGGGGGTGCTTAATTCTTAGTTTACAGTCTCCGACAAGAAATTTGGAAAATTAACTTCATTATCTCCTTAGTTCACCACTTATTGCTGAGAAATTGCAAATTGTCAAACATGCAACGCTTCCTTTCAGGACAAAAGAAAGACAGGACAAAAAACTTTCAGCTCGTTCAAAGCTGATTCTAATAATTAGACTTTAGATGTTGGGAGTAATTTTTTTTATTAATATTTGATTTCAATTTTGAATACCTGTCTTCCTTATCATCAGGATTATCAACCTCTTCTTCGGAATCTATTTCAAGCTTCAGATTATCCCGCTTCACAGGGGAACAAGTCTACAATATAAACATTTCCAGAGCTGAAAACTTAAGAATAGTGGATATTGTGATCAATGTTTGATCTTCTCTTTTGGTTGATTTAAAGATTAATTCAATCTTAAGTTTGTATCAACAAAAGTGTAAGTATCTCAACCAATTGAGTGGAATTTGGAGAAACCAAAACACCCAATCAGAGAAGCCGGGAAATTTGAAATTTTGCGCGCCATTTAATGAGTGAACTTTTATTGGTTGGAAACTGGCAGAGAATGAGAGAAAAAGAAAAAGAGCGAATTAAGAAGGAAATTAAAAGTATCCACATTGGATATTGAGATTATGCGATCGGGATTAAAGGTATCCAATTCTAAAGTTTTCAGCTCTGATGAAATAATTTATCTGGTTGATTTATCAGCTGATATGGAAACAACAAAAACTTTTTGTTTTGTTAATGCAATATACGATCCGAAGTTCGTACTGCCGAGGATTTCTTCTGGGATCGTTTGGGCTTAGGACTATCAACCCTAGTGCAACAAGGACATCATTTCCTTTATCCTTCTGTAGACCTGCAGACCCAATCCGGTGACCATTGCTTATCCATGTGAAGAATTGTAATTTAAAAGAACACTTTCTATAGAAACACATTTCATGTACGTGACAAAATGACAGAGCAGGATTTTACAAAAAAAAAACTAAATATACCATTAGACTTATCTGTTATCTGTGTATGAAACCTCCTATTAATGAAAAGTCCGGCTTTAACTAACTATTATCAATAATATTATCATTCAACCTACAGTCAACCTATCATGTCGACCTACAGGCTATGTTACGTTGAGCTCCAGGGTCGAGCTCCTGTTTTCTTACTCCATCCGCATATCTTTATAGCAGACAACATGAAACCAATTATATACTTATTTTGACAGCAACTGTTTTTTTTGGCGGGTTTTTTGTTCCAACTTTAAAGAGAAAATCCGCAAAACCATTACAATCTAATTCAAAATGTATGAAGTAGCAAGTGCTTTTCTCCGTCATGTCTTGGACTAGAACCCCTAGAAACGAAGATCTTTTCGATTCTATTATTCAAGTATTTGAAACAGAGCATACATTTAAAGCGGAGAACAAAAACCAATAATATATATCCGTGTATAATACCTTGAAATGGTCTGGTTTGCTCTCCTCTGTATAACTACTCCGCTCCAATGGATCTGGTTCCAATGATTCAAGTTTTACTCCACCAGTAGTTTGCTCTCTCTGCAACCCAACCAGGATGATGTTTAGAAAATAATATCAAGAATTCTTTCAATTAAGAGCATTCTGAAATGTTATACTTAAAAATGTTTTCAATTATATGATTTAATAACAACCAATTATATAATTTACAAAGTAAAATTTTTTAAAATTTAAACATTCATTCTGCTAAAAATATTCTGGAATTTTAAATTACTGAATAAAATTATTGAAGAAAACATTTAGAATTTTAATCAATGTTGATTTTGTCAAGAAACATGAATCTAAGATTAATCTTGGTTTCCTTAATACTGAGATTAACAGGTTCAATATCTACATGATGAACTGACTCTGAAATACAAAAATATATATTTTTTTATTATCAAATATCTCATACTAGCTGAAGTGCCCGGCGTTGCCTATGTAATATTTTTTAATCAAATTTAAAAAAAAAATTTGATTTAAAACAAAATTTTATTAAAAAAAATATTTAGAATTTTTAATGAGAATTTGTGTCTATCCTTTTTAGCCTATGTTACCCCCGGGGTACTCAAGGGTTTCCTAAAAAATTTCAGCCCATTCGGTCCAGCCGTTTGGCCAGCCATACCTAACATAAACATATATACCAAGTACTAACCCCCTTACCCCCTCCTCTCATTTGAAAAATAAATAAATTTAATGATATTGGATATAAAATCTTCAAATAAATGGAATTATTAAAATCATATATAATAGTGAATTATCTAAACATTTAATGGAAACTTTTAACACATTTCCCGAAAATTAATTGATACAAACATATTAATAAAGAAATAAAAACCTAAAAACATTTTTGAGTAATGTGTTATATCATGTGAATTCTATAAAATAGAATAGCTGGTGTGGTTCATTGTGTACATTCAGCGGCGTATTTAGGAATTTATTAAGGAATTCGTCCAGGGGGGGAGGTTAATTTTTTTCTGTCCAGGGGTGGGTCAGCACCTGTTGGGGCCCATAAACCCCTGAAAATCATAGATCCAGTGGGGGCTGAACCCCCATAGTCCACCCTGATACGCCTCTGTGTACATCTCGTACCTCCTTGATATCTTTAGTATCGTGATGTTTACACAGGTCAACAAAAACACCAATTCAGCTGTAGAGAAGTAGCGGCGAAGAACTTAATGGATTTTACAGAATAATTGGTCTAACATAAATGATTTAAACAGAAAAAGACATGAATTTTTTTTGGTTCAGTATTAAAAAGGCAAGAACTTGCCAGTAAAGTCCAATTTTTCTTCTTCCACTCCCGCAATAGTGTAAAATAATTTTTGAACTGTAAAATATATATAAAAAACCTTTATATTTTAATATTTTAAATCGTAAAACAACCTGAAATATATTATAACGTTTAGAAGTATTGCAGTAACTTTAAATAAAAACCCGTATAAATATACAATATTACTCAGAGGCCTACTCAAAGGAAGGGGGGGGGGGGTATGGGGTCTAAGCTACCACCTGGATCAGTAAAATCTATGGTTTTCATAGGGGTTTTTGAGCTTCCTCCAATCACCCGAAAGAAGAAAATAATTAAGCCCCCCCCCCTCGGACAAGTTTCTGAGTACGCCCCTTATATTACTTATCGAAATACCTGTAAATTGCGTTGCGTTTCGTTGATTCTGCTTGCACTCGTAAATATGGGTTTGCATTTCAGGAATAGATTCCGCATGAAACTCACAGCTAAGATAAGGACACTTGAGTAGGGAGGAGGAGGGGACAGTTGCGGTCTCAACGGTCGGGAAAAATCCTTGTTTTACCGCGGACCCGTTCAGTACTTCTTTTTTAATATTTATAATGTTAGTTTGAGATACAGCTTCAGTACAGGGTTCCATCTTTATTTTCTCGGATGAGTTGGTGTTCTTCTTTGATACGAAAAATGATAGTTTCACTAATTTTATTTCATCTCTTGTTCTTAGTATTATCATATCTAATCCTAGAGCTCGGAATAAACTATTCACCGTCTCTATATGATGAGAGAGATTGCTTAACCAAACCTCTCCGTAGTAGAGTATTGACAGAACGGATGCAACCAGAGAGGAGGAGAAATCCGGAAGCAGGATACAAACCAAATCCTCCTCTTCTCCGGTATCCAGACAGGTTCCTAGCAACTCCGGACTAGCTCCGGCAAGTACGATCTTGTGGGATCCGAGACCATCGCTCGGAGAGTGATCTGAGCAGCTAATTCTAACATCAACGAAGCTTCCCTCTCCCAGCAGCTCTTGCAGACCTGTTGCAAATGGTGGAGGCATTTTCTTCGTCAAATAAAAACGATCCTATATAGATCAATTATCTGAAATTATTACATTTAAAGACTTCAATCTATATATATAGATGACGTGTGATAATAATATTAAATATATTAAATTTATTATATTAATTATTTAAAATATAAATCTTTGCAAATCTAGAGAAACATGAATAATCTTTATCTGTCCTAAAGTTGATCCATTTCCTAGCAAAGAAGTCTCGGGATTATATCCTAAAAGATACCTTGTGGCAAAACCCAAAGATTTCGATTTCTCACATTTTTGGTGTTTGAAATAAATTTGTACGTGCATTGGGTCTGTCCTAGTGAACGATTTTTGGATTAGTTAAGACACTTTCTGAGCCGAGCGCTGCGGCCACGGGTTAGGTTAAGTTAAGAAACTTCTTGTCAGACCCATGTACAAAATTGATAGGAGGGGGGGGGGTCCAAAAATCGTTCTCTAGGAATATACCCGTGCATTTCTGCTTAATTAAGTTTTTGCGAATGAAAAATCTATGATCCAAATCAGCTGAAACCTCTTGACCTACTTAGCTATCAGTCATATTTTTTGGAAAGCAATAATATTCAGCACTTTAATGAAATACAGAAAAAGAATATATCTTATAATAAAGCAATTCTGAATTCGACACAATGTTGAGCTTCAGCAAGTGACTTTTCGAGAATTTCATTTTCGTGAAACTGAAAATATTTGTTTAATTTCGAGTCGGAGTAAGAAATAAACAGAGAAGGGGAGACCATTTTTAAAATTTTTAACATTCTATAAAATTATTTTTTTGCGCAGAAAAATTTTAACAAAACTATACTTCGATAAATTTTTTTTTTGTATGAAAAAAAGGGATTATTTTTTGTTTTTGTTACCTTCCTTGACTGTAAAAATCTGACTTGTGCGTAAATGCCACGTTACTTTCACAACTCTGACACCGATCTAGTCCTTTCCCAGTCCTACAGCTTGATGCAGTGAAACTGCCTGTTATTGTGACAAAGGCAAAATAAACTGAAAACTTCTGAAGTTTCTTGAAATGCTAGTTATGCTCATGTTTACCTCAACATGTTTTTTCTAGATTTTTCGATCATCTACGTAGCAAATTGTTGTAATTAGTTAATCTTGCAGATTTTTGCATTTACATTGATAACACCATCATTTTAGTATTTCCATTTGTTTTCAGTCACATTACTTGTTGTCAATATTTTTCAGAACTAAAAAGTCAAGTTAGGAATATTGTGCTTTTTTAAAATATGAATATTTTTACTCTCTGTGCTTTTTTTTCATCTATTTTTATTAAGTTATAATCTCTGTTTGTCTGTCTATTTGTATGTCCGATAATAACCCGGGAACCCCTGGACCGATTTGCGTCAAATTTTAATTGGAGAACTCAGGAGAACTAGGAAAATGTTCTTACATTGCTTTTGAAAGCCAAAGTTGAGTATATCGACTTTAAAATGAAAATATAGGTTCCTGGTGAAATTGATCAAGTTCGGATAAACTGCAGGAGTAACTAAGAGTAACCAAAGCCATCGTGGGGTTCCCAAGCTAGTTGATTACAAAGTCTGAAAGATGTCGTTCATTATTTTGAAAGTTAACATCAATAGAGCATCTTTTAAGCCTCATTTAATTATTTATATATTTTTTTTCAGAGAAAGTATTATTAAAAACAGAACTAAGGTTGCGAAATGCTACAGTTAGTTCTGCTCATCTCTCTAGTTGGTAGTTTGCATGGATATGATCACATTAATACTCCATATTTCAAGGTAAATCAAACATTCAATCTGTAAGAGAATGTTAACTTAATTTTAGGTTACCACTCGTCCGTTATAATGTTTGAGTAACTTGAAACCTAATTTTGGAGATAAACAAGTAGGTCTTTGCAATCGCTAGTTGAGGGGGGGGGGCCAGTAATACNCCTTAAAACCCTCTTTTTTGAAAAATATTGATACCTTTTTTAACTATGTATACTATTCGATCATATACACACTTCCATTTTACATGTGTTAATAAATTATTTATTGTACCGGCCCTCCCTCTTCAGGGGAGGCACGCGTAGGGGTTATATATTTTAGGTTAGTTTTGGTTAAATTATATAGGTGGCCAAAAATATGAGGAAAAAGAGGGGTGGGGGGATTTACAACACTAAGATATATCATCGGATGAGAAAAATACGAGAAATATGATGAAAAGTAAAACAGTTTTCTTTGACTTTGTAAGAATGAGGTTTTCTATTTATTTCTAAATTGTTAAGGTTGTGTTGACGAACAGTTATGAGGATGGGTTGAAGGGAGTTCATCTGAAGAATAAACTGCAGCAAGATCAGGCTATGCAGGTTCAAACTTTATCTCTACAAATATACTATGAGACTTATAACACTAATCTATTTTGTATTTGTGTTCTTTCAATTTAACGTTAAAACGCTGAACCGATTACGCCCATCTATATGTGGGACCTGATATGGCCTCACAATTAGTTAAAAGTTATAATAGAAAATGTCTTCTTAAAACAGCTTTTATTTTTGTAAATTTTTACAATTCCTAATGAAAAGATGAAAATCTGCGAAAATATTACTTTCTAATAATGTACTTAGAACATTTATTATAATTAGCACTAATTAATTATTCGAAGGGAAAACAAATTAGTGCAAACGAGGAACTGGATGCATGACTGAACTAAATCGTATTTTCTTCCAGTTTTAAACTTTAAATGAAAATAAATATATCTTTCAGGATTTTGTGAACGGAAGGTTGGCTGCGGGTGAGATGGGCACAGGGGTACAGTTGGATAATATTAAACCTAAGGAAAAAGAAAAGAAGGAGAAAATGTACCAAGCTCACGGTTTTGATGAATATATCAGTGAATACATGATCTCCTTGAACAGGAGTTTACCAGACAGAAGAGATAATTATTGTAAGAAAAGTGAAAATATTCTCTTCAAAGTTTCAGATTTACCCAAAACCTCAGTTATTGTTATTTTCCATAATGAAGCATGGTCTACTCTGATTAGGTAAGAAAACATTTTTAACCGTAGTGATTTTTACATTTGAATTCAGTCAATCTTGGGAGGGCTTATCATTTGTCTGGATAATTATGACTTGAGAAAAACAAGCAGAAAATTAACACCTTTCAAATTTTCAATCAATTAAATTTCATTACTCCCTTATATTGAATATGTACGACTATGTACGTCAGGGGTGTATATTTTTCAGAATTAACCTCCCCAGGGGGGGGATGAAAAATCTAAAGGCAACTTTTTTATTCTTTTTGGTACTAATTACCCAAAAATTAATTGATTTTCCCCAAATCAGCAAAAACTCTTAATAAATGGATAAGCTTATGGAAGAAAAATGATTTTTCAAGCAAATAAACACTCCTGATGTATGTACTATTTAAATTTATAACTACAATGTACATATTTGTGTTAGAACTGTGTACTCTGTATTAAACCGTTCTCCTGCAGAACTAATAGAAGAAATTATTCTTGTTGATGATGCCAGTACACTTCCACACCTTGGAGATAAACTAACCAAGGTTAATAAATATATTTTACAATTTTCAAAACTTCATAATGATCCGGGAAAATTTAATGTACTAACTTATAATTGATGGGCTGCCTTTTCATACTTAAAGGGATTGTAAGCGGAATTAAAAGTGACCCTGCATGTAAAGATGACAATGTCCGATTTACAACGGTACTCTTGAAACCTTAATCTCATAAATAACTATGGTATCTTGAAGATACCATAGTTATTTATTACTCGAAAAGCGTTAATTCTAATAATTTCTCCATTGCTTCTTATAAGCAATAAATTGCTTCTTATAAGCAATAAATGCGCCAGTCACTTTTGCAGAGAACCCTGAAATTAAAATTAACAGTTAAAATAAACAAAAACATACCTAATTCATATTTGATAAGACTAAGCTTTTGCTTTGTGAATCCATCCTGCCACTCTATCAATGAGGAGACACTTAAAGATACGTTTAAAATCCCTTTAGATTGTAGATATGGTGGAATTTAATTTGTTAAATTTTGAATTTAATTTTATTTACCTAAAACTCCCTCATCTTGACATATTTGTTATCTTTTATTTTTTAATTAGGCTGTAGAGAAGATGGATAAGGTTCGTCTGCTCCGGATGGATCAACGAAGTGGGCTCATGAGAACAAGAATGGCCGGAGTAAAAGCCGCCAAGGCAGATGTTCTCACTTTTCTTGATTCTCACATAGAGGCTACTGAGGGTTGGTTGCAACCACTTCTGGAGAGAATTCGTCTCAATCCTAAAGCTGTACCTTGTCCCGTCATCGAGGAGATTAACGACAAAACTTTTCAGTATAAGGTAGCGGTTTATTTTCATAAAGTTTAATCAATAGTAAAAACATTTTTTCATTTTCTTGCAGGGTTATATATTTTTTAAGAATACCCACTGCCAGGGGGGTGAGAAGAAAGATTTTTGATGCTCTTGGGAAAAAAGAAAAATTGGATATACAAATTTAAGTGTTTTATTAATTTTCATACTTTCATTTATTTTCTCCTGAAAATCATAAATTTTTACAATTTAGGCGAAAATATCTATAAAAAAAATACCTAACATCGGGGTAAAAAAAGATTTTAAAATAGAGGGGGAGAAATGATTTATTTTTAAAGAAAATATACACCAGGGCTGTTTTCTTGTTAGTTTGTAACACGTGACCTGGAGGGGGTTTTCTACTGGAGTTTGGACTTTGGGTGGAGAGAAGTAATTCGTCCTGATTGGTCTCCGTACACTACACCAGCTATGGCAGGGGGACTCTTCGCTATCAGGTGGGTGTTAAGAGGGGAGGGGAGAGAAGATGGATTCGTCCTAATTTCGTCCTATTAGGTGGGTTGGTACGAGGGGGGGGGGGGCGGTTTGTAACTGTCAGAATTCGCATGTTAAGTTCTGAGAAATCCTTGGGTGGAAGTTAAAGATACATTTCCCTTACCTAGAAATATCATGAACGAGGAAAATTGTCATGAGGTTTTGAAGGTAGGGAAGTAAGATTAATTGGACGGAAGACGATGAGGGGCGATGTAAAAAAGTATAAAATATGAGTCACCTAAAGGGACTGTAAGCGTAGGTTTAAGTGATCTTTCATCCATGCAATGATAGAAATGTCAAATTCACTACTGTACCCTTCTAACCTTCACCTGATAAAACGTTTTTCTGACAGGAAAAGTGTTAATTTCCGGGCTTTTTTCAATGTTTTTAAAGTAATAAATGCGCAAGTCACCTTTGTTGAGGGGTTGTTACCTGGTAGCATTCGTACTGTCAGGGTGATAGATAGATAGATAAATAGAAACGGTTTAAATAAACAAAATCATGGCTATATAATTCATACTTGATCAGACAAAGCATTAAAGGGACCGTCGCGTTGTATATCGGGCGTTGCCATCTTTGTACGGAGGTTCACTTGAAATTACGCTTACAGTTCCCTTAAACAGTACGAAAATGGTTCAAAACAAAGGTACTCTGATAGAGGTTACGTAGAAACGTTAATAACGAAAATAACGGTGGATTTGGGCCGATGCTTGACAAAAGAAAACTAAGAGTACGCTATAATTTACGATCCTTAATTGATATTTTGATAGATCTTCTTTAAGTGATTATACTTGGATTTTATTTCTGTGTAACTTGAAACTCGCCTGTTTTAATTCTTTCATCTTTTACTGACAATGCACGCTAAGATAAAACCTTGCAAATAATTCTTTACATCTGACAGTCACGAAGTTTTCAAACAGCTGTTACGATTCATGATGAATTTTTGATTAAAATCAACCCCCCCCCCCCCCCCTCCAACTCAATTTTTAGAATTTTAACAATTTTTCATCTTTATTATGAAAAAGAACACTTGTATTTATCATGCAATTTTAATACACTATTTTGAATTTAGGAAGGATTGGTTCAAGGAGCTAGGATACTATGATGACGGTATGGAGATCTGGGGAGGTGAACAGCTAGAACTATCCTTCAAGGTCTGGATGTGTGGTGGAGAAATAGAGATAGTTCCTTGCTCTAGGGTTGGGCATATATTCAGATCCTTTAGTCCGTACAAGTGGAGAACTGATCTAAAGATTCCTGAGTACAATTACAAGCGTGTAGCTGACGTCTGGATGGATGAATATAAAGCCTTGTATTTTGACAGGGTTGGAAACACTCTGTCCTCACTAGAGGAGAATCTAGGATACTACGGAGAAATAGAGTCAAGGAGAAAACTACGAGAATCCCTCAACTGTAAATCCTTTCAGTGGTTTCTAAAGAGCCATGTTCCCCATTTAGGATCCCACTATATCATTGGATCTGGAGAGATTAGAAACTTTCATCATCAGTTCTGTCTGGATCAACAGGATACTGAGAACAATGTTGGTTTCCCCGTTCTTGTCTTTGATTGCACCAACAAGAAAGGAAACCAGTATTGGTATTATACCTCCGAGGGGAAAATAACCAGGGATTTTCTCTGCTTCGGAAAGAAATCTCCTGACTCGGAGAACGAGAGTCATCTTGAGCTAGTAAACTGTGACGGAGCTGATCTGTGGAATTATGAGCCAAGGACGGGTGCACTACAACATCTTGATTCCGGGAACTGTTTAAAGGTGACCAGAACTCCTCTCCTTCTCTGGTTGGTTCCTTGTAATAGCATGGACACGGAGCAGAAGTGGTATTTTACCAACTACGATGAGGAGGGAATACCTAAGGTTTCTGATGATGACGAATATGAAGATGATGATGATATTGATAACAATGATGATAATATGGAGAGCAATGATGAAGTGGAGAAAGACCACGATGAACTCTAAAAACGAGAGCTTAGCCGTTTTTTAAACTAAATTTGAAAATTTTCACGAGTTTTCACATAAAGCTATCAATATGAGAGTTATGCCTGCAGTTTCTCCTCTCTCCTCTCTGGACATCAAATATGAATCCGTCCCGGTCAAAAGATAATTTTTTGTTACGTCTTCCAGTTTATGTAAATAAGTACTGTACATTCCACTAATACACTGGGCATTTAAAAATCAAAAATGAACAGGGGTTTTTGAATTATTTTAGTTGAATTTTGACATGGAAGAATCAGCCAATTTTACTCTTAAAACTTTCGAGTTGATTATTATTTTTATTACTTTCTTTTTTATGCTGTGCAAGTTTTTATTCAGGGCGCTTTTTTTAAGAACGAACCAACGATTTTAAGTATTTCAATATAATTTACTTGAATTTTTATTTTGAAATGTTAAACAAACTTATTTAGTATTTCTACACGTTACAGGTGTTCTTTCCTACTGTTGTGAATGCCATATATGTAAATCAAGTTATTTATTCTCCCCTTGTTCATTGTAAATGTAATTGAAGTTTTTGTATTTTTGATAATCTAATGACGAAAATGTGTTTCACCGTTTGGACCGATTGCTCGAATAATATAATGCAATTTAATATTTTGCATAATTTATTCAAGCCATACACCTGTGTTTGTTTGTTTTTCAAGTCTGTGGCTTGGCCAGGCCTGGCTCTAAATATAGATACAGTAATTGACATTTGAGTTGGCAGGTCTCTTCTATACAACTGAATGTTCACTGTACAGGATTGGGTTGTCAGAATATATTTTAAACAAACGTGATTATCTACGTTTTTTTGTATAGAAGAACATTATGTAGTTAAAAAGCTAAATATTTTTTACCTTTTTTGTGCAATGCAAGCGTGCAGAAAACCCTGAGTTTATTTCAGAAGCTATTAATAACAACTTTACTTTGCTGCCAAGGACATCGTCCGCCTGTAAACACAAGGGCGTCAAGAGACCATTGTGTCACGTCAACGATCAATTCAAATGTCGGTTACTATATATCCGTTAACTATGTGCCTTACCGTGTTCTTATCTCGACTAATGTGATATTTTGATAAATATTATTATTAAAGTAATGATATTCATGTATTTTCTTAATGTAATTAATGTATTTATTTAGATTTTTGCATTAGGTTTGATTGTTTAACTTTACACTGTTTGTTTTCAGATGTCCTTGTTGTTTGACAATGATGTTGAACTACCGTCAGATACTCCTCTTCATCCCCTGGTTGATGACTCCAGGTACCAGCCTACACTAGGCCTCAACTCCCTACTCCGAGACCTACCCCTAGTCCCTCAACCTGTAGCAGGGGAACGCAAGGATTCTCGGGATACGGCTGGACCAAATATTGATTCAAAACTTCCGATTCCGGAGTTCATAAACACGGCAACATCTCAGGTATATGTCCGCTGGCAACTTTTTAATTAATTCAAATTGGTCGAATCCAGTTGACCTCTTCTTCCGCGTTTTATTAGTCGAGCGTTTTAAGGTTTGTCCAACAAGAGAGAAAGAGTGAGCTCAGTCAATCGATTTAAAACTTTTATCCCAATGATCAAAGCATCCAGTGTCCACGCTTATCTCTGAAAGTTTTTACATAAAAAGCGAAAAAAGTAAATATTAAATAAAAAACTTAACCTGGATTCGGATCCAAATTTTTTTCAGGGCGGATATAAAATGGATCCTAAGCACTGGTTTTCGCATTTTTTTTAATTATCTATTTTAAGCCTGAGATGAACCGGAGTGCGTTCCGTGCTGTTGGATCCCATGATATAGTGAACTCACCTGCTGTTAAACCTGGAGCTATCCCCCTAGCTCCGGGTAGGAGTCCTCAGATCTCAAGGAGACTAGATAGCAGTGATCAGGTAAAGATGCATAGAAACCGTTACATTAGTTCTTATTCCCTGTATTTTTTCTCCCATCAAATGACGAATTTCTAGTGACCCTAAATTTAAAAAAAGTATTGCATGTCCGATTCACAACGATACTCTGTCGCACATTATCATATTATCAATGAAGAAGATATTGCATTGATATAATTTCCCTTACTTTCCTTCGTTTTTTTCTTTTGCATAAATCCGCAATTCACTTTTGTAGAAACTGTAGTGATCTTTCGACGGCAAATTTTTTGACGATTTTGGGGGGGGGGCAGAGGTAAATTTTAAATTCTCTCATAGAATTTCTTTAAAGATTTTTATTTCAGGAAACTGTATCTCCCACCCCTAGTAGTACAGCTAGTGAGTCCCGACCTCCCACCCCGACCAAACTGGGTCCGTTCTGTTGGCCGGCCCACTCCGAGGAGAACAGACAGCTCCTTGGAACAGAGGAGGAGAGCAGTGATAGACAGTCAAGCGACGAGGAGGAGGAAGAGGAGGTAATTTATTCTTCATAGTTGGCGATTTTTTAGCTTCTTAAGAATCCAGTTTAAAAACTGGTGACTGATTGATTTAAGATTTAACTGAGTGATGAGTGATTAAATCTGTTATTCGTTGATTAATGCTTTCATTGATTTAAATTTCCTCTCTAATTAAGTTTTACTTTATTATTCAATTTTCCCTTCATAAATATAAGTTTCCTTTCATTTTTTTTTCAATTTATCCTTCATTAATTTAATTTTATCATCATTAATTAAGTTTATCATCATTGAATCAAGTTTCCCTTCATTGAATCCATTCCTTTTTCGACTTGATTCAACATTTTTCCACTTAATTCAAAAATTTTCCACTTGATTCAATATTTTTCCACTTGATTCAATATTTTTCCACTTGATTCAATATTTTTCCACTTGATTCAATATTTTTCCACTTGATTTAACATTTTTCCACTTAATTCAACATTCTTCCACTTGATTCAACATTTTTCACTTCATTGATACATATTCCTCCTCAGTTAAATTTTTCTGTTTATTTTAGTTCAGGTTTTTCAATCATTAATATCTCTTTCCAGTATTCAAGGCGCTTCGCGCCCTTCTTTCTAGTCTTTTAGGGCGCTTCGCGCCCATCTTCTATTTAAATTGTGAACATGTTCTTTTTGTTTAAATTTTAAAACAAAGAACAAAATTTTGCGGATTTAAAAAAAATTCACGGATTTTCAACAGTTTAATTTTTTTTTACAAAATTAAAAACCTTTAAAACACATTTTTTTTATCATTCATAAACCTTCCCTGTGGTCACGTGATGTCCCACAAAAAATTTGGGCCCGATCGGTTCAGCCGTTTTGACGTTAATTGGATACAAACAAACAGACAGACAAGCCAAATTTATATATAGATAATATGTTGTTAAGGAGAAGAATATATGGCTGATTACTAAAGAGCAGATGAGTTATTATATGACCCAGTTTAAATCTATGCAACCAAATCCTCTCGGAGTCATTCCGGGAACACAGGTAAACTTTTCATCTTTTAATAATAGTATTTTTATAAATAAGATTTTCTGAAAGCATTAATTGAGAAATAATTCTATGCAATTTACATGAGAAAATCCTTAATTTTCTAGTTTCCGATTCACCTCGGTTCTCCAGGGTAAAAATTACAAAGGTTTTTCTTTTTCTCTCTGAAAATTGGTTGTTTTAAATTTGCTATGAACGCGACTGTCAGATTTATCCTGCAGAGACTTGTAAGAAATTTAGCAGAATTAAACTCGTTTTAAGAAAGAAAAACGACGAAATCTTCATCAATGTTGCTTCGATAAAGGTGTAAGGAAATAGGAGTGTTATCCAATTTACCTTGACAGTTCGTTTATTAAAAATTTACTTAAGTCCTTAATCCACCCTAATTTTCTTGATTTCTAGGCGAAAGAATTTTTTGAGAAATCTCGTCTCCCAATTCTTGAACTACGAAAGATCTGGCAGCTCTCCGATGTAACTAAAGATGGGTGTTTGAGTTTAGAAGAGTTCCTAACTGCCATGCACCTGGTGGTTCTCCGGAGAAACGATATAACTCTCCCGGACGAACTCCCACTCTGCCTTAAACCATCAAACCTAAAGGATAAGATTATAGACCGACACAACAACAAGGATTTATATGACGGGAACCCCCGACCTCTGCTGGACGGAACGGAAACCGATTCTTTAGATTTCTCCCTTCCCAACGATACTATTAAAGTATTAGACACAGATTCCGCAGTCAGTCCTGAGTCCCTTCTCTCCTCCCCGGGTCGTCCTAAACCTGTCAAATTTGATTTTAACGCGGTGGACGCGAGTAAAGATCCAAATATAGCTTGTCCTGTTCCTCTCAGATTATCCCCGGATTCTCCTCTACTACAGTCAAGTGAGGAGGATAGTCCACAAACCATAGGCAGGCAACCTCCGAAGGTAATCAAGATATTAATGATAATTAATATAGGTTTTAATTCTCGGACCACGTTTTTCCGTGTAGACTTCGTTCTCGTGTGCACCGATTTAAGCTTAAGTGAATTGGTTCAACTTAGTCTACGAGGTTCAACTATGTCTCCCCATTCCAATACCTGATTTCTCTGAGCGTTATTCAGATGTTTCTTATAATTAATATCCCTAAGTTACTTCGTCTTGGAAAGCGTATATTAGAACCCCGACCAAAAATATATAGTTTCATTAAATGACCATACCTGAATTGATTTAAAGGCTGTTATTTCTATCAATTGTTTAGATATCAATGAATTTTAAGGAATTTTTGTAAATATAGGGTAAACGCGGAGTAGTTTATGAACAGCTGTGGAATAATGAGGATCTGAGAAAGGGTTTAGGACGTAGTTCAAGTAGTTCCAGTTCCTCCAGCTCCAATAGCAATCTAGATACAGAGGGAGAGGAGATGGAACCACTCTCGTCCTCACCAGATATTAGAAGTGGAGGTAAAACAAATATTTTGTTTAATTTTATTATTTAACATTGAGACATTTTTCGAATTGCCATGTTGACTAAATTGGTAATTGATATTTTCAGCAAGATAGTAGTTTGAATATGTTTTTAATGAATCGTTTTAATAAATAGTGTCTTAAATTGATATTAATCAAATAGAACTTAATAATAGAACCAAATAGAACTAAATTTAACCAAATAGAACTAAACTGAACCAAATAGAAAAGATTTGAACCATAGAACAGATTTGATTTAAATAGAGCTGATTTTAACCAAATAGAACTAATCAAAACCAAAGAGAACAGACTTTGACCAAATGGAACAGATTTTAGCCAAATAGAATAAAATTGAACCAAATAGAACAGATTTTAACCAAATAGAACAGATTTTAAGCAAATAGAACAGATTTTAACCAAAAAGAACAGATTTTAACCAAAAAGATCAGATTTTATCCAAAAAGAACAGATTTTAACCAAAAAGAACAGATTTTAACCAAATAGAATAGAATTGAACCAAATAAAACTAAATTAACCCAACCGGAACTAAAACGAAACCGAACTGATATGAACAGAACGGCAATGAACTGACATGAACAGAACGGCAATGAACTGACATGAACAGACCGGCAATGAACTGACTTTAACAGAACGGCAATAAACTGACATGAACAGAACGGCAATGAACTGACATGAACAGAACGGCAATAAACTGACTTGAACAGAACGGCAATGAACTGACATGAACAGAACGGCAATGAACTGACCCAAATTGAACTGAATAAAACCAAACGGATCTAAATTGAGCCTAACTTAACTGAATTGAAACTGATTTAAACCAAACAGAACTGATCTAAATTGAACCAAACGTAGCAACTGAACTGAACTGAACTGAACTGAACTGAACTGAACTGAACTGAACTGAACTGAACTGAACTGAACTGAACTGATAAATTAAATATTCAATTTACGCGCCCATCTTCTGTTTCAATTTTAAACATTTTCTTTTTGTATACAGTGTAAAATAAAATTTAAAAATTCGCGGATTAATAGCAATCAAATATTTTTGGAGGCAAATTTTTGAATTTTTGATCCTCCATAAATCTTCCCTGGGATTTTGTGAGGGATCACAAAAAACTTGGGCCCGATCGGTTCAGTCGTTTTGACGTTTATTGGATAAAAGCTGACAGAAAGACAAGCAACGTATATAGATAGATATGTAATATGTATACTTTTTAGTTTTACGTAAATATACCTAAAAATACGTATACCTATATAGAGGCTTTAGCATTTTTAGGTTTTCGGGTTAGTAGTGTTACCACACAAAATTTGGGTCCGATTGGTTCAAAGTTTTGACTTTTATTGGACACAAACATAACAAGACAAACAGAAATCTATATATTTATACAAAGAGAATATGCTTTAAGATAAAGCCACAATTAAAAGTTGAAATAGAAGATGAACGCGAAGCTTTCTGAAAGCCTAATATATATATATACTTTGCTTGTCTGGGTGTCTGTTTGACTGTTTGTATCTAATAAAAGTCAAAACGGCTGAACCGATCGGGCCCAATTTTTGTGTGGGACCTCACGTGACCCCAAGTAAGGTTTATGAAAAGCCTAGTATGTATATATATATCTATATACTTTGCTTGTTTGTCTGTACGTTTGTATCCAATAAACGCCGAAACGGCTGAACCGGTTGGCTTTTTCGTTGGAAAAGGGAGAAATATTATTTTAAGATGATAAAAACGCGGTTCCTAAATAATATTTTGCACTCAGTATTAATAATGAAAGAATGCCAGACGAGTTGTCTTTATTTACTAGATCTGAATTCACATCCTGAACAAAACATTGGTTAAAGATAGGACGCATATGCTTTAATTTCATACTTATGAATATTTCCGGTTTCTTTGAACTTTGCTTAGGCCTCCAGGGTTCTTAGCACCACTCTTCTTGATAATGATTTTAATATTTAAATGTCGTTTTACTTTGTATATATATATATATGTAATTTGCTTGTCTGTCTTTTTGTCTGTTTGTTTGTATCCAATAAACGTCAAAACGGCTGAACCAAACAGTG